GAAAATTGCTAACTCAAGGACCAGAAATGACAGAAAGCTGAAGTTTTGAGGGAATGTTCCCTGACCAAGTATCATGTAGTTCCACACTTAATCTCCTAAACTTCGAGGGCCAGTATACCATAAATTCTAGCTACTGGGACTCCAAGCGATCTTACAACAATGCGAAATGTTGCAAAAACGCACGATCACACGGGACTTCCCGGTGCACGTCGCTACAGATTGTAACTGCCTTCACTAGAGTAAATCATTGTAAATTTTACTTAAAGGGAAATGAAAAATTTCCGTTTAACGGTCGCTCTTTGAAAATGATCTGGCTCCTTAGTTGACAACTCTCCCGCCAAAAATTTAGGTGCCCGTATGTGAGAACCACGCATAATTGGAGGCTGAATTTGATATCTTTAAGTTGCACTTGGACAAGAGGGATCCCCTTAAAATTTCAACTTCCCATCTTTTCTGATTCTCAAGCTAGCAATTTTTTCGCCAAAACTTCACGCTCTTGTACGCGGGCTCAGAAATGCGTGAAGGTTGGTACTGCAGTCATGGGGTAGTACTTGCCTAGGGAACCCACTGACAAAATTTCGGCGTTGAAACTTGCTTGATTGCCTAGTAGAAATACTCGAACAGTAACACACACCATGGTTCGTTACAGTAGGCATTTTTGCATTCGCATCCATGCAAAAACGCATAATAATTTGATTGTTAACCGGAAGCCGAGATGAATTTGATTTTTGCCGTTCCCGACATAATGTGTTACAAGGAGTTGCCTGGGAGCTAGTAAGTTTACTCAAGTATCATGCGTCAAATCTGGATTTTATGGTTTTGTGTTTTTACAGCGACCATTGGAAAGAATGTTGGAAAAAATATCATTTTCTGTATGTAATATTCACTTTGTTTGGAAGTCTGCAAACGCCAGTAACAGTCTTGAGCTGTGACCTCTCCTTCGAAAGCATTGTAAATTAGTGCACTAGTTTAGTTCATTAATCCTGCATCGCGTTTTTTTGATTTGTGTTTTCTTTCTTCCCTTCTATGCTCAAACGCATGACTTGTTATTTGCCACACTTTTATGTCTAAAAAGTAAAATAATTTTGTAACTTACTATCTTTTCTTGCTTTTTATTCATTTTACCTTTTAATACCACTACCGTCGTAATGGAGAGATCCAGCTGTATTACTAAATATGAAAGTATACGACTTAACGGATTAAAATATTCCTGTTTAGTTATCTTGTTTGAATTATTTTTATTCCGAACTTGTTCTTGGCGGATTTTTCCTTCTCATATGACTACTTTCAGAGGCAGAAATCCCAAATTGTCATCTTGGTGACAATAAAGGACAATTCAGAACGCTAAGACAAAGTCGGAGATTTTTTCATAACTGTAGGTCAGTTTTTACCTTGAATTTACAGCAACAAGACGCACAAAGGTTTTCTTAGAAATTATCGTTAATAAATCTACGCAATTTAATGGACAAAAGTTGTTGAATTTCATAGGCGAAATATTGCTTAGTCGAGAAAAGACACTCTTTGGTGTCTCCTGCTTACTTCTTTCAAGTGTGAATTTTCGTAGCTCTTCTCTCCCATGAGTTCTGCCCTGCAATTATTCTTTCTTAAAAGAATGAACAAAAGATGATTATAAAAACTAAAGGAACAACGAATTTCAAATGCGGCGATTTTAATTTGTAGTATTTCATTCAGGCGTTCTTTCATCATTCGATAACAATGACACTGACGCCCCTCTGTAACCCATTTGTTTGTAGCACTGTTTCAGAAATGACGTTGCGGACTAATTTTCAGTGCCTTCACAGAGTGAAAGACTTGTCGAACAGTTGTCCGTGATCTGGGAGACATTGCTGCTGCATCAAGTGCTATTTGACGTTGGTCTCGAAATGCGTCCTCATTAAAGACAATTATTTTCTGTTTCAATTGAAACTGAGCAGCAACAAACCTTTGTTCATCTGTTAAATTCTCCACAGCTTCTTCAAGTTCTGTTTTTCGAATTTCGTACTCACGTTGTCGAATATTTTCAGTTGGTGAGCGTCTTTTTTCATAAATTCGACGACGATTTACAAAGATCATTGTTACTGCCAAAAGGAGGAGAAGGATGCACGCAACAGCCATAATTCTGAGTCGAGATCGGAACTGAAACATGTCAAAGAAGTTTAAAGAAATTGTTGTCGTGAATTACATCAAACTGAAGAAAAAGTGTTCGACTAGATGGACAAAAGATTTGATGAAAATGCTACATCATTTAAATTCTACAGGACAAACTCGGGCTGGGACCGGGCTTGTCAGTGCGATCATGCATTTTTGCAC